ACTTCCAAACGGTTGGACGTACAGGAAAATTGCATAGGACCTTTCTTGTAGAGGACGACGAGATCTACAATTTCCATGTAAAAGTTTTTCGCTAGTGTCAATAGTTTCCGAGTAATTTGCAAAAAACTGTTTTTTTGTTTTTCGTCAATAACTCTTTAAATATTAATGCTAGTGTAAAACTTTTATATGGAAATTGTAGATCTCGCCGTCCTCTACAAGAAAGATCCTATGCAATTTTCCCGTAGGTCCAACGGTTTGGGAGTTATTGAAGAAAAACGAAATTTTTTGACAAAAGTTGGCTGTTTCGACCGTGGGATGGTCGGATTTTGTCAACATCAATAAAATGCCAAATAATCATACGTAACTCGTTAAATACTGGATTTAGAAGAAAAATGCATAGAATCTTTCTTTGTAGAGGATGTGAGTGCCTACAACTTGTGTATAAAAAGCTTTTCGCCAGCGTCAATAATTAATTGAATATTTCCTTCTATACTTTTTAGCACGTAGCTATTTATTATTAGCATTGTTCTTCCGGCGTCTGATTTCTTTCTAACTATAGGAAATGCGTTTTTCTAAAGTACCCAAACTTTTCGGATTTACTGTAAGTATAGCCAATACATCCTTAACCGAGCTTCTTGAGAGCGAAACAATAGCTACGTTCCTCGGTTTCTCTGGACCGTAACTATGTGTGAATTAACATGTCTCTCGTCGTCGAACCATATTTAATTAATCGAGTATCGAACACCGATCAAAGTTCAAGTTCGAGGAGACGCGTGAAGTAGCTAGCCGAGGTGCAGGTAAACTTTGGCGAAATCTAGATTTGACAGGGGAAATGACACACGAATTATATTTTATCACGGATAACCCATCTATCCCGAATCCAAGAATACACGTAAGCCCGTGAATTATTAAAGCGAGCGTCAGAATTGCAGAGTGATCGAATCGAGTTAGTCGACGCCCGGTCCCACTAAAAGATTTTGACAAATCGGTTTAAACGTTATTCCTAAATTGGCCATTGATCGACCGGAGGAGGAGAGGAGAGATGCCGATCTCAGTAATTCACGATCAGTTCACTCGGTCTCTCGGTGCGACTTCGCCGGAAATTTAGTAAATAAAAAGGGAACAAATCGTGAGTGACGTTAATACTAGAATTTGATTTTGCCAGGCATAATTGTTTTAACAGTTTATTTCCGAGGACAGTTTGCATTCTCGCGGATGCGATTTCAAATGATAAAGTTCGACTGAATTGACTGTATGCCCGAATCAGCGACAATTATGTTTTACTCGATTTCGACCGGCTCACTCAGTTGAGATTTCACTCACGTGGAGATTCAACGTTAAATACGAAAAAGGATTCCTGTGGTATCGTTTACGAACAACGGGAATTTCGTAGGATCGCAAATCAGCTGTTCCATATTCGTTTCTATAGAAGAAGCTAATTAGATAAAAGGCAAAAAGTGGTGAGTCTTTGCTGGACGGTAAAAGTCTGTTCTCGATGTACGAAGAATCGTATGTGTTTTCGAAAGGTAATATGCGATTCGCGCGAAGCTTGCATAATGTTTCGAAAATGAATGACGTCAGTGGTTGGGGTTGTTCTCGGGAAGGTTATCGATGAAACTGTTCTTTCTCTCTAGCGAGTGGGTGGGATCGATGTCGAGGGCGACGTGCACAATTTCTTCGTGGAATTTTTATGAACCGCACGCTTTTTCGGATGCAAAGGCGAAGGTAATAAACGTGATTACCGGAAACCGAAGAGGTGGACGATCCGACCACTCGGAAACAATTTTTTAAACGTCTCTCGATTAAACTGCCACTTTCTTCGTTATCGATTCCACGAACAGTTAAGGAAACGTGGCTAGGATGCCGAAGATTGTCTACGAAATTAACACTGTATGAACTTTCGAGCTGCAGCGAAAATTGCCATTGGCGACGTTCACCGCGGATTCGATGGAAGGAAGGATAACGATTTTCCCAGGGTCGAAACGAAACGGCTATGACAAAGATGTTCGCGTTTTATTTCTATTTAAACCTCCGATTACCCGATCTCTACTTCGACCAGCTTCGAATTTCAATGACCAGTATCTACCCAGACACGTTTCAAAATAATGGAAAGAGTCAACGCTTAGGTCAGACGCGTTTCATTGATTTGCATAGGTTCGAGGATCCACATTGTATCTCGCTCTGTACCCCGAGGTTGGCCAATTCTTTGCCACGAGTCAGTCGCGCATTATTATGCACAGGTTCAAGTTCCGCGAGATTCAACAATAAGTTTTCTCGCGTAACGGAGTAACAAATTAATTACCACGTCGGTTTCCTTTCACCGTACGGTTTCATCAGGTATACGTATACGTTCGTATTTATTTCCACCAGCCGATTCAAGAAGATCCTCGACCATCAACGTGGCGAGTAACAAAAGAATTGTACAGAGAATTTCGTACAATGATGGAAAAATAAAATATAGAATTGTCAAATGAATTTTCACGTGACAAACAAGGATCCCGCCCGTCCGGCACCCATATACAGTGACGACGTGCACATTTTTACACTTTAGAAACAAGTTACAAGAAATATTGAACTTGCTTCGTTACTAGATTGTAAAATGCGCGTCACTTATACTTTAAAGAGATTACGAGAGACGTACTACGCGTAATCATTGTAATTACGAGACGTACAATTTTATCAGAAAAAGTACCGGACACAAACTTTTTCATATGCAAATGTATACGCTATTTAATACTTATTTTCGTATTTCTTTAAAATGTGCAATTAGAATATTTGCATACACGAGATGCCGTTTTCTGTTTTACCGATGATAGCTTCACATGTAGTTGAGATTTCCCAGGTGGCAGCATCTCACAGTTATTTACAAAATTTGCAATAAAAAATTATCTCTTCGGTAAAACATTATTGTATCTGAGCAATCAAACGAATGGAGTTCCCTTCAAACGCCTGCCACTAATTAATGTACCAGGTGATGTTTTAGGTATGAAGAAAAATCTTAATCATTGAGAAATTGTAAATGAAGGATACGAACATGCATAATCAGTTTAATAGCATTCTGTTTATAAGAATTGGAACGTTTAAACAGTATTATGAAAACTCCAAAATTCGAATGCCGCAATACCGTTCTCACTTGTGTAAATGAGTCTTAATACTCTTATGAAAGTATCAGTACTCCTCTAAATAACCACTCCTGGATTCAGTTTAATTTTATAATCACTCTATTTTTTACTAGAATACTAATAAATATACGCGAAGAATACAAATCTTATTGTTTAAATCCTATCATGTTAATGCAGCACGTCTTTATTGAAAAAAAACATGCTGCAATATTCATTGATCAACAAAGATAATTAACATTCGCGTTTAAAAGAAGCTCGTAACTAAAACAAAGATGTGATTCGTGAACGACAACGTAAAGTTGCGAATACCTTGAATGATTTTCTCCGCGAAGCGAAGAAATTTCGACATTCTTTCATACATACATACGATGATGACTTATTTTGCGAAACGAACGAGGCGACAGGCCACAAAGTTGATGTTTCACCGAACGTGAAACGAAATTAATAGAAAAGGATCGTACAGTACGTCTGTACGATTATACAGCAACGAATCTAATTACTTTAATTACAATGGGACCTGTCATTCTCTCTCTGAATAGTTCCTTCAGGAAAAGATCAATATATCGTGTAAGGAAAATGACTGTTTACCAGTCGAATTTACTGATTCGCGTGATCCCTCTCGTAAATCTAATCGTAAGCAGTGAAGAGACGATCGACGTTAAAACGTCTTCGAAGGAACGAGCTTTTTTTCCCCACGAACACTTTTTTTTCGTGGACGCTTCCCACATATGTGTGTACGTTTACAGATATATGTGTTCGTCGAACACGGCATACATACGCGTACGAGCGTATGCGTGTGAAGGCCATGTTAACAGACTGTAAGTCAACGAAATGACTTCTCTAACGATAAAAAAATAAGTAGTAGAGGGAAAATTTACTTACGATTTTCACCGGCTTCTCCGCGGCTCCCACAGAGCTTTTCAGCGACGGCTACTTCACTTTCCACATTATTACGTCCACAGCGGAAAAAAAGGAACAGCGAGAGAGCGAGTTTGATCAAAAGCACAATTTTCGTGACGTCATCGGTGGTCGGACATGCGCAAATTGTTTTCGGTGTTTTTCCATTTACCGCGGAAACACGTGTGGCGATGTATGGAGCAGCAGCAGCAGCAGCAGCAGCAGCAGCTTCGCTCCTTCCCTTCCTTCCTTCCTTCCTTCGTTCGTTCGTTCGTTCGTTCCTTCCTTCCTTCCTTGCTTCGGTTGCTTCTTCTTCACCGCTTGTTTTCACGGCAGCGAAAACTTAGATGCACGCGACATTATCGCGACTACGCGGTCTATCATCCGCTGCGAATTTCGTCTGCGATTATTCGCGAGAGCCAGCACGGCTGCCTGCCGACATCTACCCATCCACTCCCACTTGTTAAGTGACGTACACTGACGTCATCGATAGTTTACCTTGAAGCATAACATTGAGCCGCATGCCTGGCAATCCCTCCGATCAACTTCCCTATGCCGGCAACGACGATCAGTCTTTTTACCTCGCTCTGAATACCCTCGACGAAGCCTCTAACCCAGGAGCGGAACGCGAACACGACGCCATTACGCCGCTCTTCAAAATGGCGACCCAAGATGGCAGCTCGTCTCGCGCTCGCGTCACAGGCAGGTACCTCTACGCATGCGCAAGACATGGCCATACGAGGATAAACTGCACCGCGCGGGTTTATTTGGATATTTTTATTTTTACTTTCCACACTCAGTATGCACGTTACATGAAAAATAAAGTTCTTTCCTAAGTATCTATTATTTGTATGAATGCGAATGTTGTTTCACGAAATCGGTTAAATAATGACGAGTAAGAGAGAGAAAGAGAGAGAGAGAGGGAGAAAGAGAGAAAACGAGATAGTAGGATAGAGGTAAACAGAATCACTGATAGCCGGTTTAAATTGACAACTAAAGTTATACGCAGAGTATTACTCGTTTATCTTGATTAGCCCGTAGTATTCGAGTAGCCTGACGAACCGTACCAGACAGAGATAGGAACATTATATAAGTGACTGTTTAATAATGACATAACGATGCTTCCAAATGACACGTGAATAAGAGATCGTAATGGCGTTTAGTTAGCGTACGGTTAGACCATTCGAGTTTTCATAAAACAGTGAGTCAATTGGGTGTGAAATGAATGAAGTGAATAGAAGTTCGAAACATGATTAATTTGATGTTCATAAGATTTTGATTCGCGTCATTATATATGATTGCTAATTTGACGACTATGTAGATGTTATTTTGATCAGCCGTGAGGCAACCCGAATACAAATAAGATGTTTTGAAAAATGGGCTCTTGGAGTCGATTTTTCAATACAACGACAAATGTATCGGTATAACAAACGAACGCAAAGAAACAGATGTGATCCGTGATAGGAACCATGAAACTTCAGGACAATGGTCATGAAATCAGTACAAATTCGTTGTAAAGCTAGTTTAAATATATTACTTTAAACCGATTAATTGTTCTTTTTTTCATTCATTAATTACCGTAGAACAAATACATTTCGAAGATGCCCGTAATGGATTGTAAGTACGTTACCATTATTCGAAGTATTCGTATCTCTTAAATATGTTGTAGACGTCAGGTAAAAATGTTTTGCTTATATTTGTTTTTGAAACTATAACGAATAATACTGCACCTTCTTGATACATTATTTCATTAATTCCTATTATGTACGTCGTCTGCCTTTTTCTATTCTTTTCTTTCTCATACATTCAAGAGTATAGTAAAACTAACAACAAGCATTTAAATTACGTTTCATAAGTATGAAATGAATCTCTCTGTTATCCGAAGAGATCGTCGTTGAACGTGAATTCTCATTCAATTCAATCTCTATTAATTTGTTTTTCAATATTTTCAATAAAATCGTAGATCGAAACATAGAAATTTTTATGTGTCGATAATTGAATGCTAGATTTGATTCATTAATAATGGATGGTGCGAACAAGAAGCAGAATGTTCACCATGACCTAGAGGAAGAGAATCAGAAAAAAAATCTGGATGACAAGATGGAAAAAGAGTCGGAAGTAGACGTGGTCTATGCCACTCGATTAGACTCCACAAGACCCGAGGACGTAGAGAAAAAAATTCAATGTCTGAAATATGTATTGGAGAAGGATCTAAGAGCAGCTGATCTGAAGTGGTCATTATTCGTAGCAGCTTGTAACACGTATCGCTACGATACTTGTTTAAAACCCTTTCCACCGATGTATATAAAAAATGAGTGCAAGGACATCGAAGCTTTGGTACAATTTTTGGAACATCAATCCTGCCACGTTCGTCGAATCTTCAGCTGTTAGATTTTTAATTTTCATTGTAGAGAAGAGCTATAGAAGTAATTCCTCCGTTGGCTGTAATACTTAAAGCATTATCTGAACCGAATGCCTATGAGAGATATGGGTCGGCTATAGACTTGTTACATTGGGTTCTAGTACGTCTCAGAGATCCTTATATAAAAAGCATTAAGAAAGAAAGTGTAAGTTCAATTGTGATGAATCGAATAAATTCTTCCAAATCATTAATTTTCATTCTCATCACCGGTTTGTTAAGAGCTCGTTAAAAATTTGTAAACATGTTTGTAATATAGTATGACACAATATTGAGAAAAGTACCCTCAGAAATATCTACAGTTGCTCCGAATTTAATATTCCAAGTTGCAAGTACAAAACAATCTACTTCAGAAGACAGATGGAAAACGATTGCCCAAGGCCATTCAACTTTTTATGCTTATCATGGTAGCCGCTTAGAGAACTTTCATTCCATCATACATTACGGTTTACAACAGATTATGTGTAAGGTAAAACAATTTAGTAAAATACAATACAGTTTCTAATCATGTACATAGAATAGTGAACTGTGACGATGTATCTTTTAGAAATCGTTGTTTGGTAAAGGGATATATCTTTCAAGTGAATTAGGTGTAAGTTTACCATATAGTCCTGTCGGCTACGGATGGGGAGGTAGCGTGCTAGGAAGTGAAATGAGTTGCATAGCTTTGTGCGAGCTCGTTAATCATGCAGATGTAAAAACTGGGGATTCAGGTAATAATGTGCTAAAGGGGAAGATCGTGTATCGCTTCTCATACGATATACTTTACAGAGGACAGTGCCAGAAGTATTGTCACGGATTCTGTAGATGGAAGAGTACCAAATAAATATTATCTGGTAACGAACAGCGAGTTAGTAAGGGTACGGTATCTTCTCGTTTATAGCCAACAAGTTCAAGCAACGAGGTAATTCGAATGCCTATTATTTCTAATGAACGTACGTGTACCTGTGCAAATACTTATCGAATCATTGTTTCAGGTGTACTCAAAGCAAAGGAATACTAACATGGTTCAAACAACACAAATTATTAACATTTGTACTCGGTTACGTGGTGCTACTGGCTTCAGTTGGATTGACTCACAACAAACAAGTGGAAAAGTACTACAAATTATTTGTTCAAAAAGTTGGACTTGAGTAAAAATGTGAATTTTTACTGAACCGAGTTGTCCCTCCATTAATATGTATATTAAGAGGAAAAGAAATTGCTTTATATATTTTTTTTTGCAATGATGTTTAACAAAATATCATAAGAGATATATACAATTTGTAAATAATACCCATGATTTATGCGAAATTCGATCTACTGCCACATGAAATCCCATTTAATTCCATAGAGAACTTAATGTCTTGACAATATTATGGGAAAATTTTCCGTGACCAAATAATCATCTTGGAATATTACGATTAAATTCACTTCGAATTCTACAACAGACATTTCCTTTTGATTATCAGAAGAAGCTGTTGACTACGAATTTCTTCAAACCGAACGATACTTACCCACTTTGAAATTACTGGTACTCAATGTAGGACATGTAAATAGTCTAGGAAATATCATATATATCGGTATAGGAAATTGTTTACAAACGTCTCCCTCTCCAATTTGTATATTTTGTATCTCTGTAGCTGAAATAAACGTAGTATTATAAGATGATTAATTAAAGCGTTATTGATTCTTTCGTTTACCATCCCTAGAGTAGCCTTCGGCACAACCACACGTTTCTACTCTCACCAACTGCAGTTCAATCGAGCTTATCCCAGCATTGCAATGTTCAATTACCACCTTTGCATTGGAAAGTATTATTATTATTTTATACCAATAAACGTCATCATAAAGGTCAGTTGTTATAGGGTATACCCTTACCTCTCCTGTTAATGGTTCAGAAATTTTGCAATACAACGAATCTAATTTCCCAGAAATATGAAATCTGGGCACATTAGTCCTATCTCTTGTGTTCTGCAAAGATTCTGGCATAATCTTAAAACATACTGGTTTACTAGGTTCCTTCTGTGCCTTGGGAGGTATCTTATCCTCCACTATGAATTCCAATGATTTGCTCACATCCTTTGCCAAGAAGCTTCGTTTAATATCGCAACGTATAAGATATTGAATGTTTACAAAGACACCGTGATAGGTTTCATACAAAGATTTAGTCCCCCTTGGTTTCAATGGTAATTCAAATGGTATCTCTGTTCTGCCACTTGGTATCTTGCCACTTGGAGCAACATCCAAGGTATACTGAACTAATTGTATTGGCTGCAAATGTAATTGAAGTATTTAGGATTGTAATAGCTTAGAGAGTTTCATAGACGCCTGAGAATTGAACGTACCTTGACGGAATTGTAAAAGGCTTCGAAGATACCAAAATTCTTTGAGCTTAGCTGCAGATTAACTGAACCCTCCATACTTAGAAATATTCCATCGTGTTTAACATCGGAATTAGTTTGTATTAATATAAAGCCAGCAACTATTTCCTGAAGGATAACCTTTAATATGCTTCGTTCTTACAGATTATTATCATCGTAAATTATTTTAAGACGTACCCCCTCGTGGTATATTTTACTGGCCCGCTTCAGCTTGATATCAATATTTAGTGTCATTTTATAACTAATATAATCCTTAATCAGTTAACATTCCAACAACGTTACGTGTCTGTCAGCTTTGAAACTTATTTCGCACGTACACTAATAAATGCATTTAACATTTAACTTAACGATTCTTGAATTAGTAATTAATAATTATTTACAAGTAACGCATGATATAATCGCAAATCACCTACTTATTGTATAAATATCTACACACATGAGACACATAATCAGCTGTTTCTATTCTGTACATATATGTTTATATATATGACATAATGATGACGTATTTATATACCTAGCACATATTCTTTTTCCAGTCCATTTATTTGTAACAAATTTAAATAAAGAATAGAAAACCGTGGATTACATTACGAAATAGGAATAGGAGAAATACTTTGCAATGAGAAACGATCATCTCTTATTAAATAAACAGAGTCTTCCCCATCGTATTAACGAATGCATGACACGGAAAATAAAAAAGAACATTAGAAATTTATTGAAATGAGAAAAATCTGAAGTATAACTGTTAATACATTTGAAGTACGTGGCTATTCCTTGAGCCAATCGTACCCCTAGATTTTCGCGGCATTTCTTCATCTATACGACGTCCACATCCGTAGAGGGTGAACTTCCGTCCGATCAGCTAAACAAATTCAAACCGACAGAGTCGTTACTGTGAGGTGAACGTTGTTTGAGAAACGGTGGAAGCAGTTTATTCAGACGATTTTAGTGCCGCACGAGATACTTTAACAGGAATAGTTATGGCGTTGAGAAATCGCACAGCATTCACGGTGAGTCGACATAGATTTGTTAAGGGATTTGTTTGTAAATTTCTCAGCTACAGAATGTCGATGGGGGAGTTGGATAGAACAGGGTAACCGTCTGTTCCTGACATCTTTAAATGCCCTTCGTCGACTTTACAAGCTGTTCGCTCAAATAGACTGCACGTTCTGTCCCATCGGTTTTTACATTTCGATTCCTCTTTTCATGAAAATTTTATCGTTTATTCATTTAATAACAAGGAGCTAGTATTTCACACCTCGGCAACGCTTGGATTTCACGTCTTTTTTACATAAAATATATATCTTTTTTTGCATCGTTTAAAGGTCGAATACCCGATAATTATTTAAAGCTTAGTTACTTATCTAATTATATTATCACGAACCGTGGTTACAAATATTCTTAACGGAATTTTTAAGCGGACTAACCGTCCTTGTAACAGGTGCTCTTGAATAATTTCCGCAATACACTTTACACTGTTTACCCGTTCTCTCGATCCTGACTATTGATTATAAAATATTTATTCGAGGATGCCTTCCCATACTTCCCATGTTAATCCATTCATTGTAATTATTATTAAACACATTATTTTGTGAACATCCTCATTGTATCTTGTCCCTATTTAATAAAGTTTGTGGAATGCAACTGGAAACACGGGATGAAATAAATTTTCAGACTATGGTAAATCAAGAAAATGTGAAGAATGCCAAGTCTTCCACTACCACATTAGCTGGGAAGACGAAAAGGGCTGCTTTGGGTGAAATAGGAAACAAAGTAAACACATTAAGAGGCATAGAGCCTGTTGATAGGACTAGCTTGCTACAGAAGGACCCGAAAAAAATTGTGGTGCCAAAACAAGCAGTCAAACCGCAAGAGAAACCGACTGAAAAAGTACCTGTACAAGTGGTTAAACCTTTATTGAAGGCTGCAGCTCCTAGCGTAAACCATGCAGTGCTGCAGCTTCCCAAGAAGGAAATAGAATCGTTCTCGTCGGATCTGCTGGCGATTGAAGATATCGACGAGGACGATAAAGAGAATCCTTGTTTAGTTTCTATGTATAGCAATGAAATCTACGAATATTTGAGAAAGGTGGAGAGCATGTACCCCGTTAACAAAGGATATCTTAGCGGACAAGAAGTTACACCAAAAATGCGGAGTGTACTTATAGATTGGCTAGTAGAAGTACACCAACAATTCCACTTGTTGCAGGAGACATTGTATCTGACCGTTGCTATCATTGACCGATTTTTACAGGTTCGCCTCTTTGAAATGCTACAATTTCGTTCTTTCTATCTTGGGTCTCGTTCGTAATCACGATTATACTGTTTCAACAGAGTTTTCGCACGATAGATAGGAAGAGGTTGCAGTTAGTCGGTGTGACAGCTATGTTCATCGCTAGCAAATACGAGGAGATGTACGCCCCGGACATAAAAGATTTTGTATATATCACCGATAACGCGTACTCGAAGGTAGAAATACTGCAGATGGAAATCGTTATCGTACAAACGTTAGACTGTTGTTTCGGTAGGCCGTTACCCTTACATTTTCTGAGAAGGTACAGCAAAGCTGGAAAGGTATGCAGTTCCCTCGCGTTCCTCTACCCGACAAATTCTTCTACCTCGTTCATTTACTAATCCTATTTTTTCACGACAAGGCTGTTCAGGTGCATCATACAATGGCCAAATATTTTCTAGAACAGAGTTTAGTACATTACGAAATGTGTCATTATCCACCGAGCCTTCTCGCAGCAGCAGCGATATATTTAGCTTTTCTGTAAGTTGGCCCGTTAATCAATTGATCACCGAGTTGAGAATTCATTGTTACTTGCTTGATTTTATTACTCAGAATTATTGGTAACGATGACGAGGACAAGCAGAAGTTAGTCTGGACGAATACCTTGGTTCATTATAGTAGCTACTCCAAGGACGACGTGTTACCCGTGGTGCGGGAAACAGCGACTATGATACTTAACGCTGAAAAGAGTAAATATCAGGCAGTGAGGAAGAAATACGCCCAATCGAAATTTATGAAGATCAGCATGCGCCCCGAGCTTAGATCACCCACGATGATCGCTATATCCACCGTGAATAAACCGACGGTGTAATGTTTGTTTTTCAAAGGTAACCGGAGCAAATACTTTGTTTGTTCAATGATCCTTTGAACGAAACAGTTTTTTATCACGTATAGAATGATATATTTTCGAGGAAAGAGATACGTGAGAGAGACGAGCAGGTTTGAAACAATAAGATTAGACGAGACTATCTTCATTCCTTACTTGTTTCGCACATGTTTTTCACATTGAATAGAGTAGCATGTTTAGATCCCTTCAATAAACAAATTATTTCTAAGTGATGACTTCCGCTCCGAAATATATTGGAGTAAATGATTTGGAAATAATTTAAAAGATGTAGCCTTAGTGATTATTGAAATGTTACCCAGAACAAAATTCATAGTTAGGGTAATTGAGATTAGTTTATTCGTAAGGATTACGTAATAAATAGATGATCGGGTCGCGTAGAGAAGTTATAGCGAGAAACGCTTTCGTCCATCAAGCAAACTATTAGAAACCTTTGAATGATAGTCTCGTTTGTGCGTAGAGAGACGTTTGCCTCGAAGATGCGGATCCTGTTGAAAATGGGATATTTTAATTATAAATATTACGAGATTGTTGTACGAAGTTTGTAAAAGAAAGATAAACTTTAATAAGTGATTCTCTGGAGTTGAATGAATATCCATTATTTTGCATGTGTACTGGTGTCGGATGGTATCTGCTTTATTAAAATCAGATATTTAACGCAGAAATCGCTGATTAAAGGTTCTCTTTTTAATATTTAGACGTAATTATCGAATTTAGAATAATTGTATACAAAAGTTTTCTAGGATAGAGAAGATAGAGAAGCACGGGAGTATAGTCAATTGATATGAATATATATATATATTTTTTTTTGGATTCTTTTTGGAAACACTAACGAACAATATCTGCCGAAGGATCTCCGTTTGAATTCAATAGAAATTCGGTAAAATGAGGTTTTGAAGATATTAAACCGAGACACGCACAACTTTTATTTCTATCGGGACATAGTAATTTTGGGAGAAATATAATGTATGAGTTTTTGATTGTTCTATTTTAGAAAAATTCTATTTTAAACTGTAACTAATAATTTTAACACGACTTCCATTCATTTCAATCCTGTTATCACTAACGCATTTCATACTGTCCTAAAATAAATTCGAAGTGGGATAATTTTATATACATTTTTCATAGCATTCGTCAAACATTTTGCCGAATTTTTATCTAATTTGAAGCAGGATTTTGTAGGTATTTAAATTGTAAATCATATCTTTTATACTGAAATATTGGATGAAATTTTAACTTTTATTCGTGATTATAAAAACATTTTTATTTTGATATTAGTTCTGTAAAGTAGTTTTAAACTTCTTAATGTATGAAAATACGCGAGTATTCCAGACAACATTAATAATGTATACTTTGATATCAATATTTTCACAAATATACCCATGACCGTGACTGCTCATTAACTGGCATTTTGCCGGATTACCGATACGTTTGAAATGTGAGGATTGTATAAAATTTATGTAAAAAAAAATTTCAGTAAAAAATAAACTGTAATAATGTTTTTTCAGGGTACCATATATCATTTATGCGAGATATAGTATTTATATTTAGATTTATGTAGAGATATATTTGTTATTTTATAATGCAAGTAAGACTGCGAGTTCGTCTCGCAAGACTCTGTTACGAACTTCAATAATTATTGTAATATATTTTATTTTGTGCATTCTTATATATAGAAAACAAATGTTTAGCGATGGACATTTGAAAAATTTATTGAATAAATAGGTAAACGGAATTAAATGAAAATTTCTTTCGAAAGAGCAGATAGTCTAAAATGCGAGAATATAATCCACAGTCATCATACTTTACAAAGTCATTTATTATCGTAATTTAACGGTTAAAATATATGTAATTTCCAAGGTGAAGTATTATCTAGCGGGGGATTTGTGACGTAGGGTTCTGAAAAATTGAATATTGAAAAATGTAAGCGTGCTCGGACATCGACGAAACGACGCGTTAACTTACCGACTAATTTCTGACAGGTAGATAGTCCTTGTAAATCTGACGATGCCATGAATTCTGCGTTCTCCTAGAATTTATAGGGTACAGAATATTAATCAATTAATCGACGTGGCAATCACAATCGTAGTTACCATTTCTATAAGGCTTGAAGGTGCAGATTTATCCCAGATTTCAGATTTACTCTTCTCTATCACTAGCAGGAACTGTTCTATTCGAGTCTGTATCTTTTCCGCGTATTCGTCATCACCGAAGTATACAAGCATTTGTATCAGCGAACGGAAGTCTTCTGCAATCAGAAATATCACGCATATAATTTCAGTCAACGTTAAACATCCAATTGATTCTTATGAAAGTACCTTTCTCTTTATACACGCTGCTGATGATTTGATATAAGGCTTGTATCAGCGCCATATCTTCGAAAACGTTGCCTTCCCTTAAGCTTGAAATCTTTCTTTCTTGCTTCCTCCGATTCTTGCTCGATCGGTAGCTTTTACTGAAAATAATACGCAAACGCATGATTCTAATTAAAATCAGAGTGTTTCACGTTCTCTTACTTGGACAAATTTGACGACTTCGACCTTTGACTCGTAGTTGAACCAGTTACACTACTTGTATCGCTCAGAATATCTGAAACACCTCTGCCGCATACGGATTCATTGTCACATATTTCGTCGTACGGCTTCAGATTTCTTTGCGAGATGTTCTGCCTGACCGTCGCCAGACGTGACCTGTACCGTTCGAAGTCACACTCATTCTTTTCTATTTGAGACATCGTGTGATTCGCGAATTCGTACATGCTCGATTTAATGCGCGATTCTAAAACGTGAAAATTCTAATCAACGATGTCAACGACTTCGTGACAGAATGTACCCACCGATCAGAGTTAAATTGTTGGTATCGTAAGCGATTCTCACAACATCTTTCCATCGTTTACCACTGCACAGACAAACTATAGCTTCCTCCACGTCTTTCAAATAGTTCATCGATACATGCGCGGCTTCTTCATACTTCTTATCCGCTTTCAAACGGTCTACGAGATTCTTATAAAGCAGCTGCTTCTCCGCTTCGCTAAAATATTGTTCAATACCACGCAATGACCCTTGTCTTTTCAACTGCACATTACAATTAGGAATAAAGATCGTAATATCAACCTTAGATCCATTTTAACAGATAGCGTGATGACGTCTTGCCAGCTGCCAGCCAATTTATAAGCGTTCAACGCTTCCTTAAAGTCACCGCTTCTTTGAAACATGATTCCAGCTTCGAGGTAATGCTGTTTCTTCTGCAAAAATTCTCCGTAAATTCTTGCCACCTCTTTGTACTGTTCGCTCTCCTTGTCGAACAGTCTCAAAGCCTTTTTGTGCAGATTCTGAGTACGTATCAAGTTTATACACTCGTTGAATCTATTCAGATCTTTGGATATATGTTGAAGAGCAGACTCGTAACGTTTCAGATGTAAGTCAATAGAGTATTTCATATAAGTCTCATCGAGTCTCTTCAAGTCGTTTAAGAACGGAATGTATTCTTTGGGATCCTTCTGTGATTTGGACGCGATGAACATGGTCAGATCGAAATCGTACATTCCTAAAGCTATATCAAACAAGACATTTACATCCACTATATATAGTAAATATTTTAGCGCTTCGTCGGACTTGACATGTTCTTCGTTCGTCGAATTCTCTTCGAGCTTTCGTATTTCCTTTATCTTGGTCAGCGCTGATTCTATCCCTTGCTCTTTCTTCTCCTTCACTAGGCTTATCAGTATAGGCTGTATCAACTGATTGATATTATTTCGTTCTTCCATGATCTTTCGTAACAAACCGCAAACCGTTTCTATTTTATTCGTTTCGACGATATTTGCGTTCGACCGGTTCTTCCGGTAATAACTTCCGTATATCGTCGTGGTTACGTTTTCATCCGTCAACTCTGATAGAAATAAACTCAACCAACTTGCTTTGGAAACTTGTTCCACAAACGTACTAGCGTTCTCGATAAATTTGCTTGGGTCGTAATCGTAGATCAGATTCAAGTTTATTCGTTGTCTCCGCATCAGATCGAAGGCTGACGAATAATCACAGTTGTCCAAGTAGATCCCGATGATGTACAGAGACAAGGCTCTCGGTTGAACGCACTCCAAGTTTCCACGAGGCATTTGTAAAATGGTTTTCGAATCCTTCGAGATAGCTGCGATCAAACAAGATCCTCTTTCCACTCTCCTAACATCTATGTCTGAAAATGATTTTGTGTTTGTGTTGTTCTCCCACGGCTTCACGGTTAAATCCTGTTTGATCAACTCCTCGAAATCCTCTTCGTTCAAACGAACGGATATCAAAGTTTGATGAACGGTCGTGAGAAGTAAGAATTCCGAATGGACAAAGAAGCTCGTGACGGTGTTACAAATTTGTTTTCCATTTATTCGGAAGTCCCAAAAGTTCAACGACAGTACCACATGCTTCGTACCAATTTTTACAACTTCTACCTTAGACAAATTGACGTCTTCCAATTGCATACCGACGGGTAGTAACTCCTTCTCCTTCGTATATTTTATAACGGAATAGTCCACGATTATGTATGCCTCTTTGAAATCAGGAGAAGGAATTATCTGTTGAATCAAACCGTCCACGACGTGAGCATAGCTGAAAAAAGTGAACAACTCTTAAGTTCCGAGACTGTGTTTCATTACCTACAAGTATACCTCATCGTTATCTGTCCCTGGGCTTGATTGTCTATCGACTCTAACGTCAAAACGCAAAGGTAGCTCTGACTGTTCGTCGACGTCGAGCACAAAACAGTATTTTCATCGAGCCACAGAAAGTGATGCATATCGTAAAATGACTTTTCACGATTGATTAGATCACGCTTGACATCGTACGTTCCAACATGTTCGTACTTTAACGGGGAACAATCATTTTGATGTCTGTAGAACATCAATTTGTTACTGTCAGAAACACAAAAGAATGCGTTGCTGTCTATCCAGTTATGTTCGTTCTCTAGTTCAGGAGCAAAAACGACAGAGTTGATGGGTTCGGTAGTGTCTAGAGTTTGATGTGCCATGGGAGGAGGGACAATTCCTACTCTAAGTCCAGTCATTAGTACTTTACATCCGTCTATAACTCCGATAACAGATTTATCGGTCACAGATGTGCCTCTACTGTGATTAACAGACCAGTTATATTCCAGTGTAATAAGTTCTTTGGATGTCAATAAAATAAGCTTCTTAGAAGGAAATGCTGTCTTCCAGGTTGCATATATCAGAGGCTCGTTCATTGGAAATTTGATCGACTGTTTCAGATACCAATGATAATTATTTTCTGTCCACATCTGTAGGACGGACGAACGGTCTTCCTGGATTTCACACCAAATGGTTAAAATCTCAGAGCATGGAGACCAAAACAAATCTTTCACCTGTAGTATAGAATGTGTAAAATTACAGTTACTGTGTTTCCAATCCCACAGACGTAGCACTGAACAAGAGTACATACCTTAACTTCCTTTAATTTAAAAGGAAGCGCAAATTCTCTATGTTTTAAACCATTCTTCTCGAATAGCGCGACCAGATGCTTGTTCTGAGAAACCTGTGTCGTAGCAATTAGGCTACCAGATGGTTTCCAAGACAATGGCTCTTCTAATCCATTGATAAATTCACTGGTGTACTGTAAAATACCTTCCCTATCGAACACTTTGAACTGTCTAGCTTTGCTTTCGTGATGCAAGAAGCTGACAGCAAATAAGGAACCGTCGTCTCTCCAGCTTATCCTACATAAGCCATCATCTAATTCATTTTTATTGATCTCTACTGGTTTTGCTGTAGCTGCTTTCTTTCCTTCAGTTCCATGAAACTGGGTTTCCTTCTTGCCCCAGCCAACAGTTACGAATTGTTTTTGACCAAATTCTGGCGCATGCAAGTCTACCTCCGATATTACTTGAAAAGCAGATACCATCGTGATCACAATGTCATTTATAGTGACTATGACGATCATTTCGTGGTCCGGACTTAATTTCATAGACTGTAAGTCTACGTTTAATTGAGTTATCAATTCGTATTTAAATTCCGAGTCCACGTTTATCCTCATGATATCGCCGGACTTACAGGCTCCGTATAATTCCTCCGATATTCTACAGTACTCCAAGCTAATGAACTCAAAATCTTCGTCAATATCATAAATCTTTATACCTTCTTCGTAATTCGATGGTATTTTGTAGAATTTGCATTTTGAAATGATGTAAGAATCATTGGTACTCCAATTGACGGCATGCAATATTTTCGAATCGTTCCAGTCTTGGATTTGACTTTCCAAAAAGTCTAATACACGACTGGCGCGTTGTACTACCGTCAAGTTTTTCATTGTTCAACAATATAAATCAACAATATAATTGTAATGTGCAAAAATTATTGTCGATTTCACCTTGTGCGTGTGCGTACCAAAACTGAATAGCTGAGCAGTGAGCCGCACGAAGTGTAAATACTGGCAGCATTTTACATTACATTAGCAGCGCATCACGTGGCGCGTGCGGAAATTTCTCAGATCTTACCATTTTATAAATATCATTTAATAGTTATTTTATCCATTTAGATTGTATTCGATGTGGAAAATGAAATTTTCCAAAGTGTATGTTCAACAGCGAAAGAATATAAGAATGATACGTAACTTCAGTTTTACTAACCAAGAGTACATCGTTAAACAATTGTGACAAGTGTTTTGAATGATGTGAAAGTTTATTTTAAATAAGTATACATCATGAATCCTAACGACATCATTGAGGAAGATGAAGATGTGATCATAAAAGTATACCAGAAAACTTTGAATACTTTCGATCAAAGATCAGTAATGCTTCTCTACAATGTCGTGCGCTTATTCTTTTTCTGTTTTTAGGGTTCGTCTCTGTATGAACACTTGCATAAATTAGGATACACCGATTTTGAAAGTTTAACAATAGAAAAATTGTCCTCTACGAACGAAGAAAAGAAATATAGAATATTCGTGAGTTTGTATTTACAATGAAAAAGTTACATCCTTGATGCTATAAACTACTTGTATATTTTTAGGATTTTATACATAATGTGAAACAAGTTTTAAAAAAGTTGTATGCCATTTATTTGAAGATAATTCAGGTATAAATACATCGAACATGATTCAAGAGCTTTATAAACCGTTTCTAATGTCAAATTTTACTCAGGACGATAGCGTGTCCAAGAAACAAGTAGAAGCTATTTTAAATTCTAAAACTCTTTTAAATGACCACAGTTCTGCGATATATAATTTCCTTGATAAATATGACTGTAGACCACGCAGGTAAATGTCCACGTTTACAAAAGATATGTGCAACGCAGAACTGGAATTCGTCATGTCCCTTTGCAGGATTATGGTATCAAAGTTTGTTGTACTTGGTACAATATTATCACCGTCATTGTACATATCCCATAATACTCACTTTAGAAGTACAACGAATTTGTTCACGTTAGCCATACTGTGTTGTGCTATTTACATGGAACATATGAGACTGAACGATCATGCGAATTTAAGATCTGTTGTGTCTTTGCAAAACGACTTGTTCGATCTTTGTAAGAAGGGAATGAAAATTTTGAAATATGGGTACAAGATCAAATTGAGCAAAGGGAAAGATTCCCAACAATTTTTGTAAGCTTTTAAATATAATTTATTGAGTCAGCGTTTGTGATGTTTAAATGAATTCTAATATTCTCGATTTAACAGTGATCTTACAGCAGGTAGATTAAAGTATTTACAACCCCTAATGGAAAATTTGATGAAATATTTGGAACGTGTTTCTCACATTTACTATCATGTTTCTTTGATCCTTCTCAAATTGTTACCGGAGAATAGTTATAAAGAACAAGTATTGACAAACTTCGAAGATTCGTCGTTTCACATACGCGGTGAAATAAATTATCAAAAACTGAAGGTCGAGATAAAAATAAATTTTTCTTACTATCAATGATTTCTATCTTTATCTTATTTTTCTGTTTTGTTACAGAGTTTATATTACACTTATATCTTGACACAATCTGAGATGTTACATCTATTAGCCGTCGCGTACGATAATCATAGTTGGAGCCAATCATATAAGAAGGTTCCAGAATTCAAATTGGCTCGTATCGTTCGTTCCCTAATCGTGATTTTGAGAATCTATAAAGAGAAACTGTCAGAATGTATCAATGCTTATTACAATTTCAAGTTCGAACCTATGTCCTATAAATACATGTAAGAACACTTTGCTCGCAACGTTTTTGTCTCGTGGAACAACGCTGCTCATGTACCTTTAACATTTTAGAGGCCCAGACTCGTCGCAGTGGCAAGATTTGTACATGCATTTATACTTAGCTTCTAACAAACTAGAAACGGCTTATAGCGACGTATCGTCTATTCTCCGAGATATCGATAACGATGCGCTGGACAGCAAGACGAACGAAGATCCTTTGGAAAATACGTTACAGAGATTGAGTACCGCGCAGAAAAATGTCGAGACCGTGAAAGGTTTCCTCGAATACAGCAGCCTGTTTCTTTTAAGGACGCGAGTCAACGATTCCGTTGGTGATCGTCTTGAGGCGGTCGTTCCGCAATCGGTAACGACCCCCAACAACGTTCGTATTATAACCGACTCGGAACCAGAAATCATGGACGAAGTATTCGAAGAATATATCAGGGAAGAATATTTGAAACCTTTGAGCGAAGAAGCTGATGGGATATCGTTGTACAACTACAAGCGAGACAAGATATTGTTTAAAAACTTCATGACAGAATTGAAAGACGCTTTGATCGACAAGAAGAAGTGTATGTCTGAAAGAGAATCGAGAGCGCTTCAACGGATGTGCAAGGCTGTGACGAAGGAGCCAGACCCTCAACGTGTTCCTACGCCTCCGCCGATGCCTACGTTTAATTACTTTCTGATAGAAAGTGATGATAAAATTTCGAATACGATTGAACCGCGACGGTGTAGATTGCCTCAAGAAATCAGTGTTGGCAAATCGACGAAGAGCGAAGGAAACTTGGTTCTGAACGATATGGAACCGTCGCCGATTGCTGCTACACCAAGAAACATGGAATTTTCTTTTCTACCACCACCGTTCTTAAAAGCGGAGGAAGAAACGTTTATAGGAAGTGGTGAAAATTCTGAAGACGATGAGGTGATCGAAGAGCAAACTGAATGAGAGATAACAGTTATTATGAAGAGCGTTTATTTACAAATGCGAAACAAATTACATGCTTTTCAGTGAAATAAGATTACGTTTGTACAATTCGTATTCTGTATAATACTAGCGACGATGATAATCAACAAATAATATGTACATATTATAACATTTTAATATCAATATCAACACAAGATTCTATAACTTATTTGCAAGGTAAAATTATATCAAATGCTTTAGTATATGAATAAAAATAAATTACCGCATAAATATAATGCGTAACGATTGGAATTCTACGATAAGAGATTGTTAAAATGATTTATAAATTATTACAAAGTACATATTAATGATATTTATTACTCGATAAATGAAATACTGACAAGATATAAAAGTACTTGAATGCAACGTCCACACAGATTTAATGAAAATCGATTTGATAGGTAATAAATGTTCTATCGTTTCGCATTAAGGCATCTGTATAATCTTCTAAAGGAATCGCGATATCGGAGTTTCTTCAATTTTTAAGAAAACCGAAGTCTTTAATTTACGTCTGTTAAACCGAACTATCCTTCTTTTCATTTGTAAGTTGCTTTTCGTGTCATTGTTAGAACATGGCAGTGACAAATCGACAGAAAAGGAGAATTGTCTTACAGCGTAAATATCGTCATAGAGGCAGAGATCGGAATATTACTCAAGCATTGAAAAAGTAGGGAACATTTGCTATGATAGGCTACAAATTCTTTGATCAAGTAAGCTTGATTTTTGATAAAATGAAAATTACGCGATATATTTTAGGTGTTCCACTAAGCTATATTATTTCATTTTATGAGATAGCAAACATTACTATATACTTTTCTCCACTTTTTACACAACAACGTATTTAAATTACAATTTTCTCATACTGAAGCAGAGACATACGAATTTCATGTCTCTTGTTCCATGCACTCTCATTTCATAAAACTGGACGAATACCCTCTATCGTCCTCTATGCCCTTTTATCGTCCCTTCGTGCGAAGGATAAGATCGGTTGGAAGAATTTTACTGTACAACATATCATACTACCATAATTAAAATCGCTATAATGCTAGCCATGGATGATGACGAATGGCTTCACGGCTTCGATCCCCGTAGTCGTACGTTACTTCCACTCCAGCAGATATATTTTCTTTAGCCGTAAGTACGAGGTGCGGCGTCGACTCTACTTCTATGACTCGTGCAATTAAATTACCGTTCCTCGAATGATTCACTAATCTACCTAACTTATCGGTTTCAGCAGTTGCGTCCACGCTAAAAGTACGATGAACAACGTATGTGATCTCAGGTTCTTGATCAATTTATTTCCTATCGATGACGATTCAAGATATACATACCAATACTGATGGTTACGATGTTGAAAATAATACATATAACATCCAGTATTCTGATCTTGTGCGTACAGCTTCTCGCGCTTCTTCGCCGTCACTTGGTCGATCAATTCGCCAATATACTCGACTACGAATTCTCCTTTCATGAATTCTCGCGTTGTCACTACTCCACGTCCCTTACCGACGAACTGTCTTACCTAAAAAAGAAGATCCTCTTCACTCGTAGATTCTTACAACGAAGTAAGAATTTTCTCTCGTTAAATTCTGTTACCTCTAAACCCTCCTCCACCTGGCAAAGCACTTTGTTCTCCATATCACGTTGTTTTTCTTCTAACACCGCCTTCTTACATTTTCTAACGCTACGGCGCACTGGAAAGTAGTCAGTAAGCTTATGATTTGTACTTTTAGTGTTTGTGGAATCTGTTGAACGATGCGTCGCGGTTTGACCGGCAACCAATTTTCTACGGCCACGATTAGCGGGCTTCTTCAATGATTGCTGGTCTAATTTGAGTACAGGCGTCATCACAGGATTCGCATGCTTGTCGTCATTTATGTTTCTATCTATTTCTTCTAACTGATTCGGCATATTAATCCTGTGCGGCGTCGATGGACCATGAATAGGTACTGCTACAGGTGTCTCTGAAATCATATTATTCGTCGAGTAGTAACGCCACGATCATAAAATCAATGCAGTCAATAATATATTACCATCTGTTCTGAAATGTCCAACATCGGTAAGAATATCACTTTGTATAGCAACAGTTTCGTCACCTCTATAGAAATCATTTTCGATAGGCACTATGGTAGCTTCGTTTTTAGAAATATCGGAATTTGATACATCTGTAATCTAGATTTTAAACCACATATTATTGCGTCGAATGCAATTACTTTTTCTAATTTCTAATATACGTAGTGCAACAACGTACTTGTGTAATGAAATAGGAATTTATGCAGACAGATTTATGTGCATTAGATATAAGATGTATCTCGTCTGAACTGACAATTTTTAAATTTTTACTATCATCTAATTTGGCCTCCTTCTTCATCGGTGAATTTATATCGTGCGTTGTCAGAACAGCAGCTTTCGTATGTGCTGCATTCTTCGCTTGCACGCGTTTTCGTCGTCCTACAATTAAACCAAATTCTCCACAAGTGTCCAAATTTCATATATCCTTATAAGAATGTATGTATGAATGTAATATTTTCAAATGTTATTACAAAAGACAATAATGTATCTATAATTATCAAAGGTAGAGGATAATAATAATCTAATCTATAATTATCTTTTCTAGTTCTTTGGTATAGATCACGTATTGGAGTTATGCATATTATATCACTGATGAAGTTTTATACTTCTCATTATAATTAAAAAAAAAAAGAATGGACGTGTATACGCGTGCATCTATATCTCGGGAATGCATAATGAAACCTGCAGATACGCTTGTGCCCGATTAGCTATCTGATTAGGAGAGACTCATAAAAAATTGTTACTACAGTAACGCAAATGATTATGAAATTACTGCAGAGTAACAAAATGTAGGAGCATAAATATTTACGTTCTTCACGAAGGCATTTTAGAAGTACTACAGATATTCGAATAGAATCTGAAGACGACGTGTGACAAAGAAATTGCGAATCGAATAGAAACTTGGAAGGATGCTCCGGGTGTCTAGCATTCGCGTACCGTTCAAAATGGAGAAAGAAAGAGCGAGAGAGGAAGTGAAATCTATCAAAACATAACCTGATCATTAGGAACAGAATCTTCAGTGAAAGTGTATGCGAATTTTTTGGAATCGCACGCCTACCTTTCACCATGTTACTCCTCGATTTTATCACGTAACAAACCAACGTTGAATCTGTTCTTCTCATACAAAAATCTTGAATAAGCGAGGAGGCCGTCTCGCTTCGGTCGGTCGCTGGTCGACGCCAGTGTACTCAACGGCAAACGAAACTAATTCAAATTTTCACGCTCGACAAGTTCACCGATCGTAGATTCCGTTCGGACGCAGGGCAACATTTAAACGCGTTCGACAAACAATTAGTTGATGCCGACGTTAACGGTTTCATTAACTCGATCGAGACATTCTTTTCGGTGGCAACCAAGCCAGTATCTAATTACAAACACTGAAACCAACAGACCGGATGCACCGCCATTGCTTGCTCTACGACGATTACGCTATTATTAAATTAGATACACAATACACGTGTGTATGCATGGACCTATACATATATATGTTCTGAATGCTAGAAACTATTACCAACACGTTAGACATGCATTGGAAATTGTTAAATTCATCCAGTTGGACGCTAGATGCAACGTTCTCCGAAAGATGATCAGATATTCTGAGAGAGAAACGAATCTTTTATAGTAATCATCAATATAACAAGTATAATGCAAAGACAATCAGATATTCGTTATATAAACATCCACGTTATGTACACACAAAAATAAGTGTAATTTACCTATCAAGGAAATGAATAATGTATTATACATGATTTGTATAAACGCATCTAATAGAAATGAACGTACACTTGAAATAGGAGAAAGCCTTCAGGAAAGAACGTATAATTTCATGTAGCTGAAAATCAGTTCATTAAATATACATGTATACATATTAATTATACTCCAGTTTAAGGAATTGTTTAATTTTAATTTGAAGAATATATAAAATCGACGAAATCAAATCATCCTTTCTGTGTCGTACGGTTCAGAGAATCGACGTCTAGGTAGCGCTGTCAGCGGCGCGAAGCTCGGATCGATCGTATTAGAACGGTGTTATTTTTAAGATAGATTTAGGTAAGCAATCGTAGAATATTAGACGAACACGATTTATTTTAGCCAGGCGATCGTGGAAGATCTACTAATTTCCGTGGAGAAGTTCGATTTGGACGAAACGCGTGTTATTCAACATTTCTGTGCAGAGTTAGCTGTCGTATTCTTTTCTTTTTACCGCGGATACTTTAAATCAACTAACGATCAGCGCGGCGCTTCGGCAGCGTTGCCAAACGTATCTACAGCCGTACTATAGTCAATTTAAGTGTAACCACGCGCGCACGAACACATGATACGCGATATGCATGGTTTGTTTACTGTTCATTGTAATTTAGAAGAACACGTGCTCAAATAAGCGATTGTTAAAACCGCGTTACTCTTTATTTAACGCGCACCGAAGAATTGTCCCCGGGTTTCTCTTCACATTTTTCATCGCGGCGACGGGCAGCTGGTGCTACCGAGTACAGGAGGCGGACTAAATCGACGGACTATTTTAAATGGTATTAAAAATAAATATACTCGATCGAAAATTTTTCACGGAACGATAGATACTCGTTAAAACTGTCGTTACGTGAAAGAATAGTTCGTTTTCTGTCTCGCTTAGCCGCCAAAATCGCATGTTATGTCCTAAAACCTTGCTAAACATTATTTTCAACGATCCTCGCTCGTCTCAATGTTAGCTTTAAATTTGCATGCATTGTCATGAAAAATGTAGTTACGAAATAGTCGATAGATGTCAGAAATTTGCGCTCTTTTTACTCGTACCGAATGATCGACACGCCTCTATTCCGGCGTTCTCCAGCCGCTCATTTAATTTCCCGATTATCCGGGGAACATTTTTGATCGAATCGAGGTAAATGCATCGATCAGTTATCGCTACGAATGAGATTGAATTTTTTAGTTGAACGCGCTCCTGAGAACGTCCCCTTAAATCCACGTAGATCTGGCAACCTCGCGTGATCGTATTCCGCAAGCAGCAGCCATAGGTAGGCGCGTGTGTTTTTGTATTTGCATCGCGGTGCACCGTGGGCCGGGCGAAAGCCAATATGGCAGCAGCCGTGTTTGGCGAACGCGTTTCGAGTGTGTGCTCTAGCTCAGACCGCATAAATGGCTCGACCTAAGCGCACAGTAAGTTCTCCCACTGTGATCTCCTAGCTCGCACAATTCAACGGCCGCACGATCGTCGCTGGGTGATGTCCGTCTGACGAGACACGACACGCAAGATTCTCGAAAGAAGGAAAAAAGTGTCTCGTGCACCCTGTCACGCTCAGCATCTCCGATCACACGGTGAAAAGATAATCGTTGGACGTCGGTGTTCCGCCGTGATACTGTGTTTATCATCGACCCGTCTGCGACCGGGAAGGCTTTAAAAGGATTGCTCAGCGATGGTGAGCCTTTGTTTATGATCGTTTCATTGAACAGTTCGTACAAAGACGCGCGATTCTTTCACGCAGTATATATCTTTTGTCTGTGCATCTATCTCTTGGCAGGTCTAACCTACGGCCGTGATTTCCGTGTACCGCGAATACACACGGGATCCCTCTTATTGTAATTTCAAATGACTCACGCACCGTTCTCTCTCTTTCCTTGTTCTTTGCATCCCTCCCGCTTTTTCTTAAAGTCCAAACAAGTTGGCGAACCAGCATCCCTGTTCCTTCCAACTTTTTTTTTCAATTCAATATGAAGCGTCAACGTTATTCGCGATACTACTTTTTACTAGTTTCGTTTTCGATGGTTCACTCTTACTGCTGTGTCAGCTCCGTGTTGCGCGATATTTTGAAAATACTAAAATCAAAACATAGAGTAAATGATAGTACATTGAAATGTACATGCGATCAATCGAGGAATTTATTAAAAATTTATGGACTGTAATAATTTCAATCGCTGAAAATGATCTTTTAATGAATTAAAGCAAAAAGGGTGTATACGTTCGAAACATTTTTTCTCAGTCAACTAAGAGGGACAAGGATACGATGAATGAGGATAGCAGCAGTGATGAGGACGAAGATCCTGATAATATGGGTGTACCTGGTAAATATATCAAGTTGCAGAGAAGTCGTAGAAGCAGGGCGTTTGTAATATATCAGTTTTAATATCCATTAGGTGGTGGAAAAGATCTTGCCACTGCTACCGGGATCGCAAACATCAAAGACGAGAAGCCTGATGTATCGTCATTGAATGTTATGAACAAAGGACAAGGGGCATTGAACAGTGAGATTAACATTGAGGTCAAATAACAGTTGAAAATCCATTTACATTGCCTAAATCAATCTTATTTTAAACAGTGCTGAATCAAAAGTTTGGTAACAAGATCCCGGGTGGATTGGTGACTAAAACTGCAGCGCCTGGCTATGAAATGGTACGCGTAGGAGGATCACAGGGTACACCACCTGGTTTTATGAATGCCAACCAGTTAGGTCAATTAAGTCAGTTAGCCGCTGCTGGTGGAGCTTACTTCCCACCGGGGCTGGCATCTCTTGCCGGTTTCAATCCTGCAGCCTTTTTTCCACCGAGTAAGTACAAACAACTTCGTTCAATTAACTTTATCATTGTATAACATAATCAAATCAATCGTCTCTTGGTCTGCGTTATACGAATCGACTGTATGTACAAATTAATTATGCACATACATACTTAATCTTGTAACAAGAGTGTATTTCCATAACGAATTTACACCCTCGTCGTTTTCTTTTATTCTCCTTAACATTAACATCGAAGATTTATGCATAATTAACTATTGTACTACTTACAATCAGTTTAAAACTGATATCAAATAATGTTGATCGAATAATCGAGAGGCTCTACTTACGTTATTGTTCCTCAGGCATGGATATGAGCTTAATGAGTGGTTTTATGGGTATGCCTGGAATGAACATGGGCGTTAATCCTCTTATGCAATTGCTAAATCAAAATGGTTTACACCCAAATTGGGCAGCTGGGCTGTCAGGTATATATTTTTTACGATGCTAATAAAGAAATCGTCAACTAAAAAAATATTTCATTACAATTGAATGATCCTGAAAATGATCGTAGGCAAAGCTGTATCTCAAATGTGGATGAACGCTGGAGACCCTGCTAAAATGAACATGCAACCACCTATACCCGAAGAGGAGGAAGTAGACGACGAAGATATGGGCGTCGCAGAAACTTACGCCGACTACATGCCCACTAAACGTAAGTCGTATACTATTTACCTTTTACGTCGCATTGTAGTTGGACCAATTTTCCATATTATATAATGTCGAACAGTTAAACTGGGGCGAAAGCATCCAGATCCTGTCGTGGAGACCGCGTCGTTGTCCAGTGTCGAGCCGACGGACGTTTGGTACAAGGTATCCATACCGGAGGAGACGATACGAACGGGAGCGTTGTCCGCGTTGCAACTTGAATCGATAACGTACGCGTCACAGCAACACGAGCATCTGCTACCAGACGGTACGCGGGCCGGTTTCCTGATCGGCGACGGGGCAGGAGTCGGAAAAGGACGGACAATAGCTGGTATCATATTCGAGAATTACTTGAAAGGCCGGAAACGTGCAATTTGGGTCTCCGTCTCGAACGATCTCAAATACGACGCTGAACGCGACTTGAACGATATCGGCGCTTCGAAGATCGAGGTACGTTTACGAATCACAAATGTCGGGTTTATTCAGAACCTATTATAGATTGTTAATTACTTTCGTAGGTTCACGCGCTGAATAAATTTAAATACGCGAAGATCTCCTCGGCGGTGAACGGGAACGTGAAGAAGGGCGTGATATTCAGTACGTACTCGGCTCTGATCGGTGAGTCATCCCAGAGCGGAGGAAAGTACAAAAGCCGATTGAAACAGCTGTTGCAGTGGTGTGGCGAAGACTTCGACGGGTTGATCATCTTCGATGAGTGTCATCGAGCGAAGAATTTGTGCCCTACGGGTAGCTCTAAACCTACCAAAACTGGTGCGTGAATCGTGTTCTATCGAGATCTATGGACAACTGATTTTTCATGTATCGTAATTTCTTTTCTTTAATGTATTCACAGGCTTGACGGTGTTGGAGCTACAGAACAAGCTACCTAAGGCAAGAGTAGTATATGCCAGTGCCACAGGTGCTTCCGAGCCTCGTAACATGGCCTACATGGTACGATTAGGAATGTGGGGTGAGGGGACACCGTTTCCCGAATTCAACGACTTTATCACCGCTGTGGAGAAGCGAGGTGTCGGCGCAATGGAAATCGTCGCGATGGACATGAAACTGCGAGGCATGTACATCGCTCGGCAGCTCAGTTTTCATGGTGTAGCTTTTAAAATAGAGGAAGTGCCGTTGTCCAAAGAGTTCACCCAGGTCTACGATCATTCTGTTCAACTCGTAAGTATACAAGGCTCATACAATCGACGAAAATGATTTTACACCGATTCCTCAATTGTTGTCAGTGGGTCGAAGCGATGCAGAGGTTTCAAGAGGCAGCGGAATTACTGGACGCGGAGAATCGTATGAAGAAGACTATGTGGGGACAGTTTTGGTCGTCTCATCAACGTTTCTTCAAGTATCTGTGTATCGCTGCTAAGGTGAAACACGCCGTGGCGGTTGCGCGTGAGGCCGTGAAATGTGGAAAATGCGTGGTCATCGGTCTTCAGTCCACCGGTGAAGCTCGCACATTGGAGCAGTTGGAACGAGACGATGGCGAGCTCAGCGATTTCGTTTCCACAGCAAAGTAAGATCCTTTCATTCAAACATTTTAAACATACGAATATGAAAGCGAATAAGTCTATCGCTTTTTATGCCAACGTGTTTATTCCAGAGGTGTGCTTCAAACGCTGGTGGAAAAGCATTTTCCGGCGTCGGATCGCAATCACATACACCGAGTTCTAGGTATCGAACCTTCGAAAATGCAAAGGCTAGACGATTACGATGACATCGACGGTGCCGGAGGTTCCGCCGGTGGTAGCAAGAGGAAACCGATACGGCAAGCAGCTCAACGAGCTTCGAAGAGGGTACGCACATTCCCATCCGACGAGGATTTCACCGACGACGAAAGAAACGGAGGGCACAGCTCAGGTTCGGAGTATAAGCAGACCGGTAGCGAGAGCGAGGATGACCACAAATCCGACGAGGAAGAGAACATCACTTCCGACTCCTCCTTTAATTACAGCGAATCAGATTCTGGTACGTTTTACAAGTCATCGAGTAACGACTACTGGTAAGTATGTTCTGACAATTTATGTATTACAGACTCGGGCGATGGTAGACGAAAGAAAAAAGGAGCTAGGAAGCAAAAGAAACCAGTGAAGAAACGAGCAGGTGTGTATAGACATTCTTGAAAAAGTTGACTAAGTGCGATGAAGACGTATTAATGAAATCTGCAGGACCCGTAAATGCTAATGTGGCGCGCAATCGAGCGCCGTCGAGGGACGCTGTGGAACGCGCCTACATAATGAAGAAGGGATTATTATCGCAGGTGGAAGAATTGGGTGAACATTTGCCGCCGAATACTTTAGATCAACTGATCGACGAATTTGGTGGCCCGGAGAACGTAGCCGAAATGACTGGCAGAAAGGGGAGAGTCGTTCAAACTGAAGATGGGACGATTCAGTACGAATCTAGGTCCGAGGTGGACGTCCCGTTAGAAACGCTTAATTTAACGGAGAAACAAAGGTACTGTGATCGATTCCTATTTATGCTAGGCAAAGAGAAAAATTTCTGACGTAAGAGTGAAACGTGATTCGATATTAATTGCAGATTTATGGACGGTGAAAAAACGGTGGCAATTATCTCGGAAGCAGCCAGTAGCGGTATTTCGCTACAGAGCGATAGACGAGCGAGGAATCAGATGCGACGAGTACATATTACCCTCGAATTACCGTGGAGCGCTGACAGAGCGATACAGCAGTTCGGACGAACGCATCGTTCCAATCAAGTCAACGCTCCGGAGTATATATTCCTGATCTCGGATCTGGCTGGCGAACGACGGTTCGCGTCGATCGTCGCGAAACGTCTTGAGAGCCTCGGGGCTCTTACACACGGCGACAGAAGAGCCACAGAAACCAGGGATCTCTCACAGTTCAACATCGATAACAAATACGGTCGCGCCGCGCTCGAAGCTACGATGAGGACGATAATGAAGTTTGTATCTCTTTTACTATTTGTCAGTACGTTTCACTGATGCATTAATTAATTTTACTGCTCCGCAGGTATGAACCTCCTCTTGTACCACCGCCACAAGATTACCGTGGAGATTTTTTTAAAGACGTGGCCGATGCGTTAGTGGGCGTCGGTTTGATCTGCAATAGCGAGAGCACGCCCGGGGTACTCACATTGGACAAAGACTACAACAACATGTCGAAGTTCTTGAATCGTATCCTCGGCATGCCGGTCGATCTGCAGAATCGCCTGTTTAAATACTTCACCGACACGTTGAACGCGATTGTCACGCAAGCGAAGAAGACCGGTCGCTTCGACATGGGTATACTCGACCTCGGTACATCCGGGGAGAACGTAAAGAGGGTCAAACTCTATCGTTTCCTACGCAAACACGCGACCGGGAAAGCGCCCACCGAGCTCCACGTCGTACACGTTGAGCGTGGAATGAGTTGGGCCGAAGCGTTGGACAAGTGCTCCGAATTAACGGGATCCAAGGAAGGATTCTACTTGAGCCATCAAATCCGCAATGGAAAGCAAACGGCAATTCTAGCAGTTGTCGTCGATACTGGAAAAAAGAAGTCTGAGAGCAAGATGCATCAGCTGTACATGGTTTACAGGTATAGTTGTATCGTATACAGTATCGCTTTGTACGGAATTAAAATGAATGGAAAAAGGCCAGGTTACGATGGATATATTCGTTTATAGGCCGAATACAGGATTACAATTGAGACAGGAAACTCTGGCCGAATTAGAGAAGAAATATAAAAGGGTATCGTCCGATGAAGCGGAACCGCACTGGTCGCAGCAATACGAAGCATCGAAGGATACGTGTTCGCACGCGTACTGGCGTGGTAATTGTAAAAACGCGACGCTTGGCATGGACTGCGAAGTTGGCCTCCGAAGGCGTACGTATAACGTCCTATCAGGCTCGGTGTTGAGCGTTTGGAGTCGAGTGGAGAGCATCCTCGCGACACGTTCTGCTCACAACTCAAAGATGCAAGTAGTGCGTTTACGTACTGGTACGTGTTACACAAGCATGATAATACGCTACAATTGGTAGACAGTAAAACAAGTTTTTAATCGTTTTCTTTCCAGACGAAGGTTTGAAAATAGTCGGCACTCTTATTCCAAAGTCCTGCATGGAGATACTGCGTCAAGAATTAACATCTGATGCAGAGAATACCGAAGAACTTACATTTTGAACACTTAATTCGCTTTTATAGGTAAGTGAACAATGCACCGTTTGTTCGTCGGATACAAACGGGAATCTTTAATCTCTATTTGTTACCGAGGGCAGGACCAAAAAGAAGCGATCTGTACGAATATAACTTGGACAAATCCCTCTTCCTAAGTCTTGCGACAAAATTCGATAACGAAGGGGGTGCATTTTGTGAGCAGGTCTGTAAAAGAAGATTGATATGGATGTATCAAACAGATTCGGATGATTCTATCGATCTACGTTTAATCTATCTTGTCTGGCAATGTGACAAGAATGAGTCGAATAAGTGGTACGAACTTCATGAGATCCGAACTTATCTTTTCGTTAAGCTCCGACGTTGTTATTTTATAAGTTCTTCTGCTCATCCGTAACTTCTCGATCATATAGGAAACGCTATCAACACGCTAAAACACAATGTTTCTTTTCATTTTACAATTTTAGTTGTAGACTACGCTCTCGTTTAGTTGGGCGTTACTTGAAACGATTCTTATTATTTTTCATTCATCTGTTTCTTTCATAGAATCCAAGGAAAACGGAATCATTCAATCGATAGCAAATTTCGTGTTTCGAAAACGAATATTGGATCGTATAAAATGAAGTTGATTCTCGTTTCTTTTATTTTACTTCTCTCCATTGCGCTACGAACTTGAAATCGATCTGAGGTAACTTTACGAGTGTTATGAAAAACGTGTTTTCATGGATGTGAATTACGGAGGGAAGCGATATTCTTATTAGGGAAACGCTATATAGACATTCGTACTATTTAAAGAACCGTATTTTACGCTAATTCATATCCTGAAGAATTTAAGCCACTCCGATGAGAGTCGATTGTATAAAACTTTAGCGATAGGGAACGGGGTTCGCTTACTTGCATCTACATATATATTGTGACTGATTAGCGGAAATGGAGGTAAACCGAACTCGCGGAAGAAAAGATATAAAGTAGCATTAGTACTATATATAAAAAAACAGGAAGCGACAGTGCAAACAACGATCGACTCTCACTGGAAACAGGCGCAGATGTATACGCAACTGTTCCCACACTTTTTCGTTTGATCGTTGAATTGATCGGATAGTTCATTAACGACCATTGCTACTGCTAATATCATTACACTTACCGCTATTATTATTAGTATTAGTAATCCCACTTGCAAAGCTACTATTACTATTAAAGGGAATGATGGGACGAGGTATCAAACGACTATCTGATTCTATAAGCTTTAAGTTGAAACCGATGTTCATCATTCATGGAACAAGTGCCAAGGTAGCATAATTCTTCTCGGTTTATATAAATCCTCGGTTTTACAATTTAGTGATTTGTCGTTCATCGTGTGGCGCGACACGACTGTGTAACAACCGGAGAATTTGGAAAACCTCGTGCAGGTACATGAAAAGCCACCTCGTCTCCCGATATTCTCTATTTATAAGTAGTAGGCATTAAAAAAAAAGTTAGATTCGAACGATACGTACGGCAGTATATTTATATTCAGAAACCATAAAGTAGTCATGCGGATCGCATGTATATTGAGTAGATGATGTCTGTTGTTTGTTTGTACGCCTGGACGAGTTTCGATAGAGTGCTAAGTAAGATGGATCTCACGATCGACTGTCTAACGATGGAAAGAACAGTGACAAAAGGAAAGATTCAGTTTTAAAAAGGAGTAACATGATAAATAGGGTATTCCGAAGCAAACGAAATAGAACGAGTTCTTAGTAGAATCTCCATTACATAAAAATGAAAACCAGATACAGATCGTCACGTAACAAGTCAAGCTTTCACGCTGCGTAACTGTAAATTATTATTGTGTATACCTTCATTTTCTCACGAATCTAAATCGTTTTTTATGTATAACACAGGATAAAGAAATACTACGTTTCTACGGATACACTATATATTGCATTTATAAACAAAAGCTAAGAAAACGAGGAGGAATGTAAAAATGTTTGCGTAGCGTAAGATACTTTCTCATTGCGTTTGTATAATTTTCTGTGAAATTCGAATAGAACGAAGAAGATCGAATTAAATTATTTATTAATACACGTATTATATTACGGAGATTAATTCGTTCGATTAAACGGTTTACTCGTTATTTACTTATTGTCATTTACGTGACACATAATAATATATTCATTTTTTATTGATATGCTACAGGAATTCGGATTTTATCGTTTCACTTTAAATGTGGAGATTCTCGATCGAAGGAAAATCAATCGGTGAAACTTTTAGCTGATGAACACGCAAATTGAGACGTATTGAAAGTGGTTTGTGATTAGAACGAAACATTTTCAAAGTGTAAATATATATATTAAAGAATATAAAACAGTTTTAGGTCACACGTGTACCTTATATTCGATATTTTTACAATTCATTACTTGAGTTCCTATTACATACACATGGTGTAATTTATAAATGTGGTATCTAGTATACGTGGAAACCGGGCATCGGCGTTCAGCCGAAACGATTCCTTTCGTAATTAACGTGCTGTGTTTTTTGTGAATTCGTACGAGAGACTTTAAACGATGCAACGCATATATACATATATATATGTACGTGGTACATGAAAAGCCACCTCGTCTCCCGATATTCTCTATTTATAAGTAGTAGGCATTAAAAAAAAAGTTAGATTCGAACGATACGTACGGCAGTATATTTATATTCAGAAACCATAAAGTAGTCATGCGGATCGCATGTATATTGAGTAGATGATGTCTGTTGTTTGTTTGTACGCCTGGACGAGTTTCGATAGAGTGCTAAGTAAGATGGATCTCACGATCGACTGTCTAACGATGGAAAGAACAGTGACAAAAGGAAAGATTCAGTTTTAAAAAGGAGTAACATGATAAATAGGGTATTCCGAAGCAAACGAAATAGAACGAGTTCTTAGTAGAATCTCCATTACATAAAAATGAAAACCAGATACAGATCGTCACGTAACAAGTCAAGCTTTCACGCTGCGTAACTGTAAATTATTATTGTGTATACCTTCATTTTCTCACGAATCTAAATCGTTTTTTATGTATAACACAGGATAAAGAAATACTACGTTTCTACGGATACACTATATATTGCATTTATAAACAAAAGCTAAGAAAACGAGGAGGAATGTAAAAATGTTTGCGTAGCGTAAGATACTTTCTCATTGCGTTTGTATAATTTTCTGTGAAATTCGAATAGAACGAAGAAGATCGAATTAAATTATTTATTAATACACGTATTATATTACGGAGATTAATTCGTTCGATTAAACGGTTTACTCGTTATTTACTTATTGTCATTTACGTGACACATAATAATATATTCATTTTTTATTGATATGCTACAGGAATTCGGATTTTATCGTTTCACTTTAAATGTGGAGATTCTCGATCGAAGGAAAATCAATCGGTGAAACTTTTAGCTGATGAACACGCAAATTGAGACGTATTGAAAGTGGTTTGTGATTAGAACGAAACATTTTCAAAGTGTAAATATATATATTAAAGAATATAAAACAGTTTTAGGTCACACGTGTACCTTATATTCGATATTTTTACAATTCATTACTTGAGTTCCTATTACATACACATGGTGTAATTTATAAATGTGGTATCTAGTATACGTGGAAACCGGGCATCGGCGTTCAGCCGAAACGATTCCTTTCGTAATTAACGTGCTGTGTTTTTTGTGAATTCGTACGAGAGACTTTAAACGATGCAACGCATATATACATATATATATGTACGCGCGTGTGTATATATACATGTATAAATGTTTCTCTTATGTAAAAAAAAAAAAAAAAGAGATGAAGAAAAAGAAGTGATGTTAAACAATCGGTCTTTCGAATAATGAAGCCCAACACTGAGTAGTTACAACAACGGTAGCATTAATATTATTTTCCTCTGTTTTGTAATTCCTCGAATAATAATGTGCATCTCGCTACGTTTTTCTCTTCTTTTGCTTTCAAGAGCGTAAACGCGAAATATCGATTCGTAGCCGTATAAAATACAATAGATTTCCATAAGAGAAAAGAAAAAGCATGTGTAAATTGTTTCCCTTCGTAGGCACAGTCTCCTTACTGTGCATCCGAATCGAATTATACTAATAGCAAATAAAAAATCTTATATAAACATCAGTCTGTTGTATACTGCACTTAGCTGCTCGCAGTTTCGTTTTCTTTCTGCGATGTCCGTTTTGAATCATGGCTCGTACGGGAGATTGAGAAGAATACGAATAATTTTGTAAATGCGTAAAGCTTCCACCGTTCGTTTTAACATTTATTAAATTAACGTATCAATCATGGATCAAAATTGTTCTTTACACAGTATCGTCCATGACTTACATTAAGTATAAAAAAAACTGTACAGTTCAACATTTATTTTTGTTGTCGTTTCATTTTTCCCTCTTTCACGAGGAAGAGGTACAACATGCATTCGATCGTCCGATCATTCGTTCAAGATTCATCTTCACAAGTTACATACGATTCCGTGTCCACTCTCCCGACTCGAGTATACCCTAATTCATTATACATAGTAAATACATCACCAAATACCTCGTCTACATATTATGTATGTATCCCTCGACGACTCACTATGGGTGGAAGTACTTTGGTATCGAAGGTGATTCAGTGGAAAGCGTAAAGCAGCATGAGAAACGTACAAAATCCGATAATAAGGCCGAGGATAAGCGAGTCTCGTCTCTTCCGCAGATTTATCCTTTGCACCAGACTGTTCACCGCTGGAAATCGATTCGAGATGTCGTTCAGCCTGGTCTGAATACGTTTGAACGTTTGTCTTTGGGTCATCAAATGTTCTCGCGTTTCCACCGCAATGCTTATTTGATCGTTCAGCAAACGATCGGAACTGACGAAAGAAACATATTCTCGTTGATTTTCACTTCGCCAAAGAACGTGAGGAAGCAAACGAAACGTTTTACTTACGCCTGAATATGCTGGTTCTCCTTCATGTACATCTCCCGACGGTTCAGCCCGCTCACGCTTTTGTAGTTACTGTTTTCATAGACGATTCATAAATTCTTAATGAAATGATTAATACGACAGTCTTGTAATTAATAAAATTTTACGTACTCGATCTCTTTGCGGACGCTGCCCAGTAAATCCTCCCTGTCTCTCCTCGCGGCAAAGTTATTCCTGATTTTGTTAAACTCCAGCTTGTAGTCTTTTAATATATCTTTGTGACGTTGCATCGTGTGCAACATCGCAGCTCCGTTTGGCTGTAACTCGCTCATTCTTTCGTTTATAGACATCAACTGTGAGCAATAAACAAGATTCGAATCAATCAAACGTTATTCTTTCATTTCGTCATTTGGAACTTACTTTCGCGAGCAATGCCTCAATTTCAGAGGCCATGTTCTCGAAAACATGTTCCTCGTCTAATAGTGGCACTTCGTCGGTGTTGACAAGCTTGGAGCCACTATTGATGCCAAGCTTGCTGAACGCTACCAATTTTGCATCGATTTCATTCTCCAAGTGTCTCGCTTGTCTTCTCAGATCTAGATGAAATAAACAGAAAAGTAACAGATGCCACTGACATACATAAGGGATATTTCGTTTTCAATCTCAGAAGGAACTGTAGAGAGCAAGTAGTAGCAATAGTCAGAAACACGTTACAACACGAATCAGGGAACATCTTGCTCGTCGTTAAATCCTAACAATGATTTTGCAAAATGAGATCATGTTCCTACGTGAAACGCGATAAATGTAATTAAATTAACGGCATGCTGGTGTGCATCAAAATAAGCCTTGGTGTTACTTGTTGCGAGATCTTTTTATCATTCAGCAGCTAAATCGAGCAGATAATTAATGAATAAAACTGATATTTGCGTCAGAGGAGATCTACCTTCCCAATCAACGGCACCTAATGCGTTAGCCATTTGTTGTTCGTAAATCACGAACGCGATTGTTTCTTTTCTACGATACGTGGACAACCGCTGTTGCTACTCACGACATAACACAGTTCCACGACGAACAGATGATGCCAGTAATGTATTTAATTTAGATGTCTCTCTCTCTCTCTCTCTCTCTCTCTCTCTCTCTCTCTCTCTCTCTCTCTC